GCGTCGCGACATGGGTGGGTCCTCCGGCGCTGCCTGATGGGGGTGGGGGGGAGGGGCAAGCCTCTGCCCGCGGCGCCTCCTGACGTCCACGTCCACCACTCCACAACACGGTGACTGTCCACTCGATGTCGGCCCGGGCGCGCAGCGAGAGTACGTACGGGCCGAGTGCGCGCTGTGTGCAAGTCGTCGAGGAGTTGTTGGAACCTTTTCAGAAAGGCGGTGAAAGGGGCCAATATGGGCGGCCGCCCTCTAACCTTTTGCCTGGCAATATCGCGCGGGGGCCGCCGCCGCCGAGGAGGGCAGCCCGCGGTGAGGTTCAACCTCTCGGCGGCGCCGCGAACTGGACGGGACGGCGCTGCTGCGGTCAGGAGGGGCGGGGCGGGGAAGCGCCACTTGACGTGTCAGGACTTCGGAGCGGTTTTTTCAATATAAACGAGAAAATAAAATATAAAATCCCTCGAGGGGGCCGCCGGGGCGGGCGACGCCTTGAATGAAAGTGTGGCGCCGGTAGAGGTGAGCGGCGGCGAGACGGCCGCAGCAACAGCAACAAACTGCGCGATAAAAATCTTTTGGCTTTCCTTCCTAAAATTCGAGAGAGAGAGAGAGAGACGCCGAGACGAATTTGTCCGGCGTGCGCGCTCGTTTTGTTGCGCGGCCTTTGCGGGGCCTTTCGCACGTCGCCCTGCTGCGCGACTCGCCAACCCGTTGATAATTTGACGGCGCGGTGTTGGTCACGGCGCGGCGCGGCCAGCTGACCGACCGGAGCCGCGGGGACCCCACGCCCCGCCGCGGGCAGCACGCGTGGGCGGCGGCGGCACCAGGACTCTCTTCTTTGCCGCCCGCCCACTCGTCATGCGGTCCACCCTGGCCCGCGGGCGCGCCGCGGCGCTGACCATACCACCACCACTCGCTGCTTGCGGGGAAACGAATTACAACAAAAATTGAAACGAGATAAGGACGAAAGTGAAAACGTTATACTGCCGCGCGCGCGCGGGAAAAGGTCAGACGGCCCGGCCCTTTCTTGATGAGCCTGCTGCGCATGCAAATTTTTCAAAAGTCCGCATACCCTTACTGTTGTTGTCGAACCCCGCCCTGCTCCGCACGTACGTATGTCCGTCCGTACGGGGCGTAGCTACGGACATGTGCACAATACGCGGCATTTAGTCAAACTCTGCTTTTGCGGCGCGTCGTATACACCATACAATGGGGCGCGGCTGCTGCTGCCCGCTCCGGAATACGGACCCTGATTGCGATTGATCTGCTTGATGTGCCCCCTGACCCGGTCGGGTCTGCACCGCGAGAGCGCGATTGTGTGGTCTGGTCCACCAGGTGCCCCGCCGGAGATGAGATGGGCCAGCAGCAGCAGCGGTCCAGTCGCGGTGATTGACCGTCCATCATGGTTCGTTACACGCGTGGAGTGGCGTGGCGCGGCGTGGCGGCCAGGACGACGCCGAAGACGACGACACAAATTTTCAAACTGTTTCTTCGGCCCCTTCTCCCGCTCTACCCTTTCCTGCTCCAGGTTTGCGATTAAGCCGCGCGCGGATCGGCCCGCTGCGGACCCGCTCAGCCCCGAGAATCCCCTTCCCTCATTACGATCATCTGCCCCTTCCCCTCTTTCTCTCTCTTTCTCTCTCTCTCTCTCTCTCTCTCTCTCTCTCTCTCTCTCTCTCTCTCTCTCTCTCTCTCTCTCTCTTTCTCTCTTTGTTTTCAATCACTCTCTTTCTCTCTCTCCCCCTTTTTGCGTCCCTCCGACAGGAAGCTGCGCCGGCCGCGAAGCGAGCGACCCCCTGTTCTGCAACGTCCGCTTCTTGGGCTTCGCGGGAGGGATATTTGACTTGGACGTCTTGGGGCTGATCCCGGCCGCCGCTGCCGCCACCATCGTCCGGCTAGCCGCTGCAAGAAAGACGCCAAAAGAAATGGATGATATGAAATTGGAAGGTGGATGGATGGCGGAGATAAATGAAGGGGAAGCGTCCCGTTCGGAGAAGTGAAATAATAGAAGTGTACTCAGCTGGTGCTCGAGAGGTCGACGACGACGACGTCCTTGTGCAAGAGCAGCAAGACTCGCGCGGTGGTGACGCGGCGGTCGGACGAAAGCAGACAGACAGTCGGGCGGGCGAGCGGACGTACTGCAGCTGACGCTGACTACGACCTGATCGGTCAAGCGTCGCGATGCTCAAGATTCGGTTCATAGGTTACGGCTTAGAGCCGTCACCAAAGTGCCCCTGCTGCTGCCGGCTGGCTAGTCCTGTCCTGCCCCCCCCCCCACCTCTCTTTGGCCGGGCCAGGTCTGCTCGCCTCAGTGATTTCTCCCCCCGCCCCCTCGCCCCGGGCTTAGGACCCTCCACCGCGGTGGCGGCGCCCAGTGGGTGGGAGAGAGGGAAGGTGGCGGCCGCCGCGCCCCCTCCTCTGGTTCGCGCCTTGGGCCCCCGCCCTGCCCCGCCCCGCTCCGCGCCACTTCGCGCTGGTCTGTCGATCTCCTTTTTCTCAGCCCCTTTATTATTTTTTGCGGCTTGTGGAGCCGGTACCCGATAGGCCCATGACGCGGCAAGAGGTCGCCAGCGGGGTGATAGCGTCGCCGTCGCCGTCGCCGCTGCAACAGCCCGGCTACACAGTAGTGCAACACGGTGCTATGCCACGACCGATTTCTTTTTCTTTTCCTTTTCGTAAAGATTTATTCTACTTGTTTTAGTTACGTTTCTTTTTTTTTTCGTTGGCTGTATGCACGATTGCCCGCCGCGCGGGCCCAGGGGTCATTTCCGGTTAACAACTCCTTCTCTCTGGCCCGACCACTGCGCGACCATCCGGCTGCTGGGCTGGCCGCGGCCGCCGCGCTCGCGCAGGAAAAAACTATATCCTCGCGGCCTCTGATAAGATGAAGGGCGAGAAACGAAAAACAGAAAAAAATTCCCGTGCTTCCGTCTTTGGTTTGTTGCTGTCCGGGCGGTCGGCTGTCGGTCGGAGCTGCTGCTGGCTGCGCAGGAAGATTTAGCGGGGCGATCCTGGTTGGCGTCGCCGGTGCGTGGGTGGACGGCCTGGAGAGCGGCGCAGGCAGCACCGGCAGGACTAGTGGCGCTGCAATCAAAGGGTCACGGCGGGGCTGCTGCCGCTGCTGCAGCTCCTCAGGTCGACGAAAGACGCGCTCCCGCTCGCTTCTGGGAAGGCGGGGTACCCACCATGACGACACCGCTTGGGCGCGGCGCAGCGCGTCGCGGCGGCGGCGGCGTCGCGACATGGGTGGGTCCTCCGGCGCTGCCCGCTGGGCTGGGCGTCGTCGTCGTCGCCGCTGTCGCGCTCGTCGCGGCCCGAAGGACCTTTTCTCATCCTTCGTCACCCGGCAGTCGCCCCCCTCCCCCTCCCTTCTGGACTGCTGGACTGCTGCTGCTGCCCCTGGAGATGTAACGCTCCTGCTAACACGCATTCCGGGCCGCATTACCAGCGGAGCACCGGGGCTCTCACTGATAGCTGGCCGACCGACCTGGCCGGCGGGAGGAAGAGGGAAGGGGGGCACGCTTGTTCGATAAGACATACCCGTCGTCGGACGGACTGCAGGAGGGGGCTTAAAAGCCGCGTGCCCTGGAGCTTTTGGTGACCGGAGAGCAGGGGGGCCGCCGGGGGCCACGTGCCTGCCTGCGATGATAGCGAGCAGGAGGGAGGGAGGGGGGGGGGGGCACTTACCGAAATATGCGGTAGGACGGGCTGACCAGCCAGGACCGACCAGGGTGACCATCACCGTGTGCGTCCATACGACAAACATGTTTGTATTGGGACTCGTTTGTTGCTGGCAATTTAACAAGAAATGAAATAAAAAGATGTGGTCGTGATTGCGAGTATAACGAGGGAAACGAGGCACCTAATTCTGAAGGGAGTTTCGTACGCGGCGCGGGCGGGGCACATGCGAATGACCGTCCCGCCCGCAATCGTCGTGTCCATCTCTTCCTTCTCGCGCCGCCGCCGCGCCCCGCCCCGCCCCACCGCGTTGCAGCCGGCTCGGGCCGGCGCGGGGCTCGCTCGCCTAGTTTCCATAATTCCATTCTGCGAGCGCGGTGCGCACCGTGTGAACACGTTGGTTTGACGAACTTCCCTCTCTCTCCTCGCCACCACCACCTCCACCACCGGTCTGCTACACTATTGTGTTTGGACAGAGCCGCCTTCGCCGGTCGGAGGCTATCTCACTGCCCCGCCCCGCCCCGCGATCATATCCCACCGCACCGGTACCCGCGCTCACACACACACGGCCCCGCGACCAACAACAGCACACGTTTCCAATTGACGCGCGCTGGTATTTTCGATGATTTATTCGAGTAGGTTTGGCCGCTTGACCCGCCGCGCGGCCTCCGCCCCGCCCCGCCCTCGCCCGCCCCCGCACCCGCCCTGGCCCGATAGCCCGTCGTGGTGATCCCAATTAACCCGAAAACCTCCCGTGTCACTCAGTGGCCCCGGTGGGCCTCCTGAGGTCGGCGCGGTCGTCCTGCGCTGCGGCGCGCGGGCTGTTTCGGTTGGCGGTAGGCTGGTGGTGGTGGAGGAGGTCCTCTGTGATGATGTGATGCTGAGCTGAGCCCTGTTTGGTTTTGCAGCCTGAAGGCCCCCGAGGCCTCTGCCTCGCCCCGACCTTCGTCGCCCTGCTGAGGATGATGGAGCCCGCCGGCGAGGCCGCTGGCGGGGTCGTCGCCGAGGCCCGCGGCGAGGCCGTGGTGCCCGGGGGCCCGGGCCCCGGCCTGGGCCCGCTGGCCCCGCCTCTGGGTCCGCTGGGCCCTCTGTGTCCGCTGGGCCCGCTGGGCTCCCTCGGCTCGCTGGGGCCGCTCGGGGCCTCGCTGGCCGCGCTGGCCCCGAGACCCCCGTCGCCCATCAGCCGCCGGGCCGCCGAGCCGCGCGTAAACTGCCGACTCAAATCAGGTCGGGCACCTCATCTCTTCTTGTTGTTACTCTATGCCTACCGCCCTTGTGCATGCGCCCAGGTGTAGGAGTAGCCGGGGGTGCCGCCTCGCGAGGCTCGCTTTGTAAATTGCTGGCGGTGCTATGGTGGTTGTGGTGGTGGCGGTGGTGCTGTTGGTGTTGGTCGGGCTTAAGCTGCTTGCATGGAGCGCCATGAGCTTTGAGTATGCCGTCGCGGGGGCGGGGCGGGCCGCGCCGCGGCGCCGCCGTCGTGGTAGTTACGCGCGAAGGGTATGAGCGACGTCTCCATTTGCGAATTTCGCCACGCATACCCCTCTCTATCTCTGTCTACTATCTCTCTCTCATTTCTCTCTCGCTCCCTCACCGCGACGCGTTTTCGCGACCGCAGCATCCACAGCGCACGCAAGTGTCGTGCGGTGCGCGCCCAACCGGTTGCCTCGCGGCCCTCCCGCCCCCCGCCCCGCGCTTGCCCGCGCCCCCCGCGGCAGCCGCGCGGTGTCATCCGCACGAAGTCTATTACCGACAGAACGCAAATCAAATTGAAATAGCAGTGATGGGGCGTGGCTTGGCGTGGCGGGGGCCTGGCTGTGCGTAGCGCTGCAATGCCCCCCGCCACGTTGAGAAGTACGAGCCTGCTGCTGGCGAGGCCTGACGTTTCTTCACGTACACACGAGTATTTCATGCAAAATATGTTTTCGGCCGGCTCAAGTGTGTGTACGTTTTGCGCGGCGCGCGGGTTCAGCCGCATGTGTGACGAGAATGACTCGATGATAAAGCAGCCACTTTTGTTGTCGATGCTCGCGAGTGCCACTGTTACCACTAGCAGCTCCGGTGGTAAAGGGCCTATCGACTCCATTTGCAATCTGTTGGTGCGATGGAGGGGGCCGTCTGCGCGGCGGTTGACTGGCCTCGCGGGGGCGTGGCGGCGCGTAGTGGGGCGCCAAGAGTGCGGTCGGCGGGGGGCTTCGAAGGGGGGGGGGGCTCCCGGTCAGTCCGCGAAACGCGCGCGCCGTACTCGAGTCCTGCTCGCGGTCCCGCCAATCAGAGCCCCCTGGCCGGTGCCGGTCGGGCCGGCCCAGCCATGGGCCACTAGGCGACAAAATCAGCCGAGCCGAATCGGTAAGCAGCAGCCAGCGGCTCGTCGGAACGCGCCGTCGTCGTCTCGCCGGCCAGCAGAGGTGCAGGAGACGTCGCGACGCTGCTAGGGGGAGGCGTCCGTCATTGGGGTCATGGACTGGTCGAACCCTGCTGTTCCCCCCAAACTGCCTAAATAACGACTCGAGCCGAGGCGGGAGTCTCTGACGGCTATAGGCGGGCGGGACGGGGGCAGTGACAAGACAATAAAATAGTGGAAGAAGTATGGAATGCCGGCCGGGCAGACACTCTGCTGGGAACACTGACGCGAACGGACAGTGGACGACGGATTGCGTGGAGGAAGCTGGCTTGCTTTATTTCGGGCGACAAACGCGGACAAACGTCTGATTTTTTTCTCTTCTTCTTTCGACGGAACAAAAGAGCCTCTTTACTCGCTCGGCCGCGTGCGTGACCGGTTGGCTGCACAACGCCGCCGTCGCCGTGTGTATGTAGAGCATTGCGCATGAGTGTGTCTGTACGCGTCTGGGTTATGAGTTGGAGGGATGGGGGGTGGCGGAGGTGGAGGTGGTGAGGGTCGCGTCAGGTGGCCGGCATAGGGGTGTTCGCATGTATGTAGTAATGCATGTCTGGGCTAAATTGGACGCACTACCACTGCAAGGGGAGGGGACGCGCCCGGTGGGTAGGCAATGCGCACAGCAGAGCCGCACTACTGCGTGCGCCAGGAGGTGACGGACGCGCCTCTTGGGTAGGCTGTCCCGCCTTGCTCGCGTGCCGGGCGGGTTTGCCTATCCCTCCTCCTCCGAGCACGGCGCCTTACGGCCCTAGCGAGTAGGCAACCCGCCCGCACGCGTGCGCCGCGGTACAGTCTGGTGATCAGGCGCTATCGCCTCGCTAAACGAATGTGAAAAATGACTTGAGAGAGAGAGAGAGAGAGAGAGAGAGAGAGAGTAGTGGTGGTGGGGGATAGACACGGCTGACGGTGACGGGGCCTTTAGAGTGAGAAGGGGACGGGGGAGGGGGGGAGTAGCGTTGAGGAATTGATGATAGAGAGCGGTCCCGGTCTAATTGGTATGCTCGTACGGCCCAAGTGGCCAATGGCAGGCGCTGGCCGCGGGCACCGGCCGGCCGATCGCTTTGATTGGCTGCTCGCGAGGCGTGGCGCGGCGTGGCGCGGCGTGGAGGGGCCCAGCTGCGGTCGGACCGGGCGGGCCCCCGCGGCCAGTTGGGCTTACGACAGCCTTTGGCTGCTTTGGGGGAGGAGGAGGAGGAGGTTGCAGTGGTGGTGGTGGTGCACTATCGGCGCGCGGGGCAGCGGGTAGCGCGCGCGCGCTCGCGCCGTATGAGTAGTGCGTCGAGTGCAGACCGCGCGCGGCCGGCCCGGCTTGCCCGGCGGTGTGCAAACCGGTCGCTGCGGGATGTGCTGCGTGGGCCGCGGGGGCCGGCGGGCAGCAGCGCCGTAAACTCGCGGCTAATGAGCAGCACTAGAAGAGGAGTGTGTAGAGGGAGGAAATACCAACTTTATGTCGAGTCGAATGTCTCTGCTATTAACGTCCCTGTGCACGCGGATAAAGGGCGTATGCGTGGTGTGTCCCGAAACGAACAGCAGCGCTTACATCAGGGGATTTCCTCCTCGCTTTTCTTGTTTCTCCTCCTCTTCTTCTTTTGCTAACGGTGTCTCGCGCGTGAAGGTGGATCTTTTAATCCCGCTGGCCGCTGCTTGATGATGAATGACGCTGCTGCTGATGCTGCTGCTGCTTTGGCTTGTTTTATGATTCTTTATTATTGACTCCGTGTTGACCAGTGTTGAAAAGGGGTATGATTTTCACGATGTTCTTTCATTTTTTGTCCTCAGGTATGGAGGGTGCCACGGAGGACGACGAACTCAAGACTTACTGCGACAAAATCCAAAAGCTGGACGTGAGCTCAGATATGGACCGAGGAGAAGGTGACGTCTCAATTCATTACCCCATTATTATTTAGTCCTTAATTTAATTACTTCTAAGTAGTTTTCTTTTATGGTCCAAGCGCACTATGCCCCATCCCCCTTCCCCCCGTCGCGGAGTCCCGCGATATCTTTTTTCCCACCCATTTGTCGTGATTGTCCGATCGCGTTGGCGGCGGCCACCAGGAGGCTCGCGCGGGCGCTGCCCTGGAGTCCGGCTCGGCGGCGGTCCGGTCCTGGCCGGCCGCGCGGGCTCGACCAGGCTTGCTGCCGCCCGTTAGTGTGACTGGAAGCGTGGGCGTGGGAGCCCGGTGGGAGCGCTCCCGGGCGCCTCGCCGAGGAGGCCCTGTCCGAGCAGCAGGCCCCAGGGGCACTGTCCGGTCAGGCCGGTAGTAGCGGCAGGGCACCGCGCCGGCACTCGCGAACAGCTCACTATTTCATGCTGATGTATGTAATATTTCTCCAATGCGGTAAATAATGAGCACCCGCAATTATTACATTACTTTTAATTATATTTTTTTGTAATGCCCTTATTAGGCCAGTCCGTCTCCTCCTAGGCGCATTTCTTTTTTTGTCCGCCGCTTGGTCCAGCAGAGCAGCAGCAGCAAGGCAGTGCACACGTGCAAAGTGATGGTGACGTCACGGCGTGGGCGCATTCCGGGGCATTACGGAGGAATGAGACGGTAGCGCTACAACCCGGCCGCCCCGCAGGCCGCCTGCAGCCCGTCCTGCGGCGGCCCTGCAGGTGTGTCCGCCGAGCCTGCACACACGTGTGCGCCGGCCCTGTAACGTCCTCGTCGTCCTGCTGGTGCTGCTGGCCTGGCCTGGCTGCTGCTCCGCCGCGGATCAAAGCGGACGGGTCGCGACGCGAGGCCGCGGCGGCGGCGGCGGCGTCGCGTCGGCGGAAAAAAATGAAACATCTTCTCTACGGCGATGCTGGTGCTGCTGCTGCTTCGCCTGGAATGCCCCGCGCACCTGCAGGTGCAGCCAGCTGCGGTGGGCGCCAGCCCGCGATGCATTATGGGAAATGATTGACGGCGGATTAAGAAGCTCGCTCTTTTCTGAAGCGCGGCGGTGGTGGTCGGTGTCCCTTTGGCGCGGGCCGCTCGGTCGGTCGGACGGGCATAGTAGTTCCGCGTGCCGCGGCACGTCGCGCTTTTTGTGTTTTTTGCGCGTCCCCTCGTCGCGGGGCTCAGCAGCTCACCTGAGGCCCCGGTGGGGGGCCCCGTGCGGGGGCGCGATTAGGAGGACGGACGGGACGCCCGTGTGTGACATATCCGCGCTGGCCGGGGCGAGGCGCGGCGGCGGCGGCGGGGCTGGCGACACGATGTACACTCGCCCCGTATCAGCAGTGGACAAAAGGATAAGGCAGTTCCATAAAACAATGGGAAGGGGGGGTGGCCTCGCCCGCGCTTTGCGCCCCGCCCGCCGGGCCTACAACACGCCTCGCCTCGCCGCGTCCCGGTAATCTCGTCATAAAGCCATCGCAAACACACGAGAGGCCAAATAGGGCCTCTGTGACCGTGCGCCCGGGCTGGGCCAGGAGGCCGCCGCGGGTGCACACGGGCCTCCTGACCGCCGCGTGAGGTCCCTCACCCGCACCACACACCACACACGCGCGCCACATCATATTTTTGTCGTTTTTCTTGCTCTTCCCAACGTTTTGAAAGGTATTTTGGAACGCTGCCATTTTATGAAGTCCGGTCGCGGTCGCCCGGGTGGGGCGCGCGCGGCCCCGTGCCGTGTGTGGCGACAGGTGTGCGAGTGTGTTTCTTTGTCGTCCCCCGCAGCAGGCAGCAGCAGCAGCAGCTCGGGAGGACACGGTGATGAGCAAGGCAAAGCGATGAAGTGTATCTGCCATAAATCTCCGCTATTTGCATGCCCGCCAGAGATAAGGTCCCCGCAGCCTCGCTAGCGCAGCGGCCCGGGGCCGAGTGCTCCCGTTAATCGCTGACGCCTCCGCCGCCTCCTCCTCGCCCGCGCCTTGTTTGAACATCCGCGCGCTGAGATGTCCCACCACCACCGTGGGGCCCCGCGGGCGAGGCAGGACACGGGCTGTAAATAACACCCGGGCGCGTCACACGATAAAGAAAAGGCCTCGCGCGCGGCGACAACGACGTGGCGCGGGTCACAAGGCAGAGCAGGCCGTCGTCGTGTGACGAAATTTGTGCGCAAAGCCTCAACGGCGCAACGGTGGCGCTCAGCACACACCACCGGGTCACCTCCTCGGCGGCGGCCACGTGCACACCCGCGCCGCGCCTCGCGCAACAGCAGCAGCGCGGGGACCGAGCGCGGGCGCTGCTGCTGGGCTGGGCTGGCTGAGCAGCAGGGGCGACTCTCGACTCGTCCGCTGCTCACAGCTAATTAAAAACTTTGGACAATCGGACACACAATGAGCGCTCCGGCTGGATGGGGGAGGAGGAAGGATGAGGAGGGGCAGCAGTAGTAGTATGGTAGTCGCGCTCGCTCACCGCGTCAAACTCGACAAATAATCTCACTGGCAAAAGTTGTGCTCGTCGCTCGTCTCTGGACAATGAGCAGGGAGGGAGGGTGGAGAGTCTGCTGCCCATGGCCAGGCTGACACTCTTCTTTATTACGCGGGGCTGTTCGTTCATTATGTACGGTGGCGCTGCCGGGGCCGGGCCGGGCCGGGCCGGGCCGGGCCGGCGGGGGTGGAGGAGGAGGGTCATTGCGAGGACGGGGACGAGCAGCCGGACCGGACCGGCAGTTTCATTTACAATGAATATTTCATCGGATACTGAGGCGAAGTTGCGTTTGCGCGCGCGGTGAGGGAGGAGGAGGAGGAGGTGGATGAGGGGGGATGGAGGACACGACCATGGGGGGCCCGTGGGTCCGTGATATCCCCTGCCAGAGCCGCACGTCGGGCGGGGCAGGCTTTGACGAGGGCGCTATCAGCTGGGCCCTGCGCTCGCTGCCAGGACAGGACTGGGACAGGACACGACACACACAAACACGTGTGATGTCCATTCGGGGAACGGAAATAACGCAGGCCGAGCCAGCTGCGCCGGACAGGCACTCTTCCTCCACCACCACCACCACCACCTCCTCCAACCATACCTCCTCGTCTCCGCTCCCGACACCACCGTGTCAAGCAGTTCGGTAAGCTGAGTTAAACGCCATCCGTTAGGTGAACGGCGGCCGGTGGGGCCTGGGGAAGAGGCTGTGTGTGTGTATGGGAGTGTGTGGAGGAGGAAGGGGGGGGTGGAGGAAGATGTATGGAATGACCCATATCTCATGTTATTCGCGCTGGCCAGCGTGTGCATATCCCCCCCAGCCGCCGGCCGACTGAGTGGGGCGGGGGGCATAAATCGCACCGGACGTTAAATAAGGCGTTCGCCCCGGGACCTCCCCACCCCTCCCTTCTCTTCCCCCTTCCTCCCGCTCGTCCGTGATGTCCAGACAGACCGCACACTCACACACACACATACCACATTTCGCCCTGGGGACGCGCATCATATGCGCTGCTGGCTGGGGCGGCCGGACAGTCCGTACGGACCGTGTACAGTACGGCACCACCTTCGGCGAATTTAAATTGGTTCCGAGTGTGTGCCAGCTCGCCTGGTGTTCTCGCCGGTGTGCTGCTGCAGGGGGTGGGACAGCTGTCCTGTCCCTCCTCCTCTACCTGCCCGAGAGGAGTGTCCTGCTGTCCTCTCTCTCTCTCTCTTACTCGTCTCTTTTTGCGTAACGCCATCCTCGCTACACTCACCCGCCTGCGCCGGGTGGGTCATTCTGTTGGTCGGGGCCTCACAAAGGACACCGCCCCGGCCCGGCCATAGTCACCGGGCGTACCCTCTGGCGCCACCGCGGCGCAGTCCCTCCCCAGGCAGCAGGGCCACACACAGGGCTCTGTTTGCACCGGCCGGGTCCTTGCTCGCCCTGCTCGTCCGCTCGCCCTGCTGTCCGTTCCTGTTCCTCTTTTGCACTTTGCCGCGCGCGGCCACGCTTTGCGACGCTTTGCGCAGCCCTCCGCCCCGTCGTAAAGCAATAAACGGACGCGAAGGGCGGGCCCGGGCGGGCCGCGGCCCCGTCAGCCCCCCGGGCCCGCTGGCCAGCAGTGTCCGCCCCTCCCCTCCCCGCCAGGGCCAGGCCGGGCCATAAACCGCCATAGATACACACAGCGTTCGGGCGTGGCTGGGCTGGTCCTACGGGCCGCCCTGACCGCCCGCCCGCCTTTGTCGCAGGCCCCGGCACCGGCCTAATGGAAGGCCCCAGGGCTGGCCAACTTGTGACCTGCATCGGCTCTGGAGCCGGCAGAGTGGCAGGTCCAGCAGCAGCGGCCGGTGTGTGTTTTAAGGTCATTGTTGGCTGATCTTTACGGCGCAAGGGCCCGGAGCCGCCGCCGCCGGCTCGCAGTTGTTTGTTTTGCCGCCGACCCTCCCCTCCGCCCACTTCCCCTCCCCCACTCTCACGTTCCCGTCGTTTCCGCATTTTGACGAGTCGCCGTCAAGTGGACGACGAGCCGAGTGGACCGGGTGGACGCGGCCCTGCTGCTGCTTATTGCCGTCCTGGGGAAAGGCTGAGGAAGGGACCCGACGACGACACACTCGGCATTAGCATACGAGCACGAGAGTCCGTTTGAAATTCCGAAATAGCGTTATCTTATTATTATTTTTTTGCTCGTTCCGTCGCGTGCCCCAGTCAGGTAATTGTATGTATCCGTGTGTATGTGTCAGAGAGAAAGAATGAGAGAGAGAGGGGGGTGGAGTGAATATTTTGGCTAAGCGGATCTTGTGTATATGCCATGCCCTGCTGTTGCTCTACCACCAGGAGCCCCTGGCCGCGAGACTCCCCGCATCCATCCCCCACGACGCTGTCTCACCGGGTGGAGTCCCCCCGCCCCTCTCTCCCTCCCTCTCTCTCTCTCCCCCGGTGTGCGGGCTGACGCGCTGAGTAATGCCCCTCTCCCGGTGAGCGCATTACATGTTACTCCGTTTGTTCGCCGTGCAGGCCACCGCGGCGGCGCTTGGACGCGGGCCAGGACG